CAAAAACAGCCACTGTTATTCTCGATAGGAAATGAAATGATCTCTTTTCAGATCGAGAATAACAGTGGCTGTTTTTGAAATATTTGTCTAAAACTACAATTGCCGAATTTCGCTTTTTGGCTCTACTTCATTTCGAATGTTATTGAAAATTAAAGAAAAACTTTCAATACTGTTTCATATTTGGTATAATCTGGTATAAATTTATTTGAAATTTGACATTTTTGTTCATTAGATTTTTTCATCAACCATTTTTTATACATTGTGGAGTTATAGCCATGCAAACCTTCCTAATTGTTTCTTTCAATTCGTCAAATTAGCAAAAGTTGAGCCGAACACCATGACTTCAATGAAGCCACATAATGAAAACTCCAGGAGGGTCAGGTCAGGTGAACGTGGTGGCCATTCAATTGAAACATTGTTTCCTATCCATCGTCTTGACACAGTCGTATTGAGAAAATATCTGCAAATTGTTTTGCAATGTGGCGAAACTCCATCAATGTTGTGAATACTGATATTTTCTCAGAATATTCAAAATAAGGACCTATAATCTTGGTTCTAGCACACCAAGCTAAACATCAACTTCAAATCTCTCTTGGAAATTTGTAGCTTTATCTAGGAAGGAATTCAATTGTCGCTTTTGTTAAAACATCTGTTATTCGTGAATTCACTCTAATTACACCAAACAACTTTATTACAGATTTCATTATTCTGACGATGTTGTCTGAGTAGCCATCTACAAAATATTTTCCTACTATCACAGTCCGTTGAAAACAAATGGTGAATTTTTCTGACTTCGTTCTATATCAATTTATTCTCACAATTTTTTTAACTGACGTAGGCAATATAGCACTATGATGTGTTCAAACATCTCGCTTATACAAATAGCATATCAACTTTCTCATCAAAAGAAAAGTTCATAGTTATTCCCTCCCAAATTCACACCAGACAGTAAATTTGATAATTATACATATTCTGTTAATTCATGGCTAACGTTAAACAAATCAATTCATTTCAGTCTCATAATATTTTTTTCTCTACTATTTTCATTTGCCAGAAAACATCAGAAACAAACATTTATGTTCTATAATACATAGCGCTGAATTTGTTATTACAGTGGCTACAAAAATCCATGAAAAAACTAGATGTCCGTATAAAAAAAGTTGATGAAATCTAGAAAGAAACATCGAAATGCAAATTGGTTTTAATCAGATTATAACACATAGGAAACAGTATTGAAATTCTTTTCTATATCATTCAAAATGGAGGCCGTAGAGCTAAAAACAAAATTCGACAATTCTAGTTGGCGAATATTTCAAAAGCAACCACCGATATTCTCGATCTGAAAAGAAATTATTCTAGTTACCCAAAATAAGAAATTTTTGTCCAATTTAACCGACCTCGTAAGTCTTACCGTTTACGAGACAGCAATAAGTGATATCAGTTATATATTTTTGGGGCTTTTCAGCCTTCGTCGAGGACGGATGTGTGCTGAAGCGGTGTAAAATAAGAGTAAAGTTTGTTAAAGGAAGTTATTGAAATGTTGGTGCTAATATTGGACATACGAAAAGTGACCTGTGAATGCATTCAACTATGAATTGGAGTATTTTTGAAAATGGACTCAAGAGTATGAATTTTTCTGTAAAATCCCGAAAATAGGTGATGTAGACACAATAGTGCAAGCTTAAAAACTGATTTAGTGACAATTCGTGAATAGGGTTTAGCATTCCTAACTTTGAATAAATTTAATATTGAGTGGAAAGACTTTTTCGGAAAGCGAATTCCACTTTTAATAGAAATATTCATACACATTCGACAGTTTTCTTGTCGAATACAACCCGATAAGTTCAGGCCGGCTATAAAAAAAGCAGATAGGTATACTATACTGGCGAATTTAATTAGTGCTAAGGCCCGGTTTACGCCAAACCCGAAATATTGAATTGAAGAAAATTGTAAATAATGGAATTTAATAAAAAGAAGAAAATACACAATTTAATGAACAGTTAGATGAGTTTGATATTTTCAAACCTAGACACCCAACGAATAGAACGCCTCCACCAAAAACGCCAGAGTTGGAGGAGATAATGGACGAAAGAAACACCAAGAAGGCATAAATGATAGAGAGCGTTCTACATGAGGCCAAACTCGTCATGGAGGAAACGGTCAGGACATTCTCAACAAATCGAATGAGAAGATCGAGCTGATGCGGGAGGATCTTAATCGTACTCTGAATAGAGAAAATGAAGAGGATATGGACGGAAGAGCTGAAGTGCAACAAGAGAGTGCAACATATGTTAGGAATACTAGAAAGGGGAGGGAGGAAACGTCGGAGGCTAACTTTCTGACTGCTGCGATTGGAGAGATGGCCGAGGCCATTCAAAAAGCCACAACCAGATTTTCAGGTGGCAAGATACAATTTAATCAAGAGTAACAAAACGCGGTAAGTAGCAGCTTACAGAAAATTATGAAACTGAGTGGAAAA